GTTTATGAAGTAAACTATTTAAATTAAAAAAAATTTACATTGGCATTACAGAAATTGGTCTAAAATTGGTGGGGTCTAATGTACTACCAGAATTAAGAAAAGATATTACTTTACTACGACTTAGGGACCTTCAAGAAAAGAGCCTACTCCTTTTTAAAAGGCCGGCAACGCATCTGCAATTCCCCTGGTGTTGCGGTTGTTCATGGGCGGCGGTAGTCACTTACCATCAGGTGAGCCGCATGCTCGTTTGCCCCCTCTCCTATAAAAAAAAAAAAAAAAAATCAGGAAACACACCAGATTTGATAGTAGCCTCGCCTCACTTAGGATTACAAATAATAGCTAGGTAAGGCGCTATTTGTATTTATTATAGACTCTATAACTTTAATGGAAATCCCTCAACAGACCTGCAGTTTTCTTAATATCAATAGTTTTAAAATATTTTACAACATCTTTTGATGATACTTTATGAAATGTAAAATTCTTTGTAAACACATTTACATTTTGTTTAAGTACCTAATAATTTGGCGAAGGCAGGAGAAGAATTCAGTGACTTGGTGGTTAAGATCGGAATATCAGTAAAATATTATTATACAATACAAATAAATGTTGTTGACTACATTATGTAAATGATTATACAAAATTATTGTAAAATTATATCTATACTAATATATAAAGCGGAAGTAAACGCTCTAATCTCTGGAACTACCAGTCCGATTTGAAAAATTCTCTTTGTATATTATAGCCAGATTCATGAGGAATAGTATAGGCTATCTAACATTAAGCTATATCACTCAGCTAGCCTTAAATATGGATATTCGTTAAGCAAGTCAGAAGAAATAGCACTCCCGAAATAATTTATCCACGTACGCTGGTGTTATCGTTAGCAATACGTAAATACAATGTTCTAGAAAAATATAGATCTTTATTCCGTCTAAAAAAAAGTCCGAGATACCATATCTCTATTTCTTATACATAAGCCATAATTAGGTATTTTGTGACAAAAAAAATATTGAAAATTAAAAAGTGATTTATGAGCGTTATTATTAGGCATGGCCTATTTATCCTTACAAACGAAAGTTACTTCATCATGAAGACAATTTTATGAAGATAAACTTTGTTCTTTATACCACGTTATTTGGACGCATAGTTTAAAAGATAATGTAAAATTAAAATAATTCAATACTTGACTGGGCGCGCGAACGACGCATAAACCCTAGCCGTCCAGTGAGAACTGAGAGAAGACAGTATTGGAAGCTTCTATGAGCAAGGTTAGTTCAATCATTATAGCTAAAATAAATTCAAAATTAATTGAGTACTTTTATGACAATGATTAGTTACATCTTTATTTCTGAACTCTTTCATTTCACGTTGCTATGGTATTTTGAAAATTTAATTGATTAATAAGTATAAGAGTTTGATAGCTCAAGAATCATTTCATGCCTACACACTTTTCATGTATCGTGTACGGTTTTCTTTAAAACTGGAAAAAACCACGCTTCGGGACACTTTCTGAGACGGAGGAGGGAGGGGGGAGGGGAGGAAAGTGGATAAAATTTAACTTCGCTCTACATCATACATAATATGCCGACAGATAAAAGCGTACCTCCGACACGTGATGACGCGGGTGAAACCGCGGGGCACAGCTAGTTATAGTATGTGTCTAAAACATAATCCCACTAGGTGCCTTGCTGGTTCTTTGGACGGGAGGTATTTTCCGAACCAATAGTAAAAATAAAAAATACTTTCAATAAGTAGTTTTTATTCTACTTTTTCTTTTATACTTCTCAAAAACAGCAATTTTATTTACCTTGGTCTCTATCACTATTTTGACTTAAAGGAAAGTTGTGGTCAGATATAGTAATGTCCAATTTTGCTTTTTTTCTTTCCCCATATTGTTGCGGATAACAAAATCGTTTAGACATCTTTGAAATAAGTCCACTTTGTTGAGTTTTGAAATAAAAATTAATTTTGGCGCTACATTGCGAAAAAAGAAAACACAACACAAGCTTAGCTGACAGATAACAGCTAGTCCGTAGGGTTGCGCAAAACGAAGAATATTTGCAAATTAGGTATAACATCGATTTTGAGAGTCGATATATATTATATATCAATATTGACCTAAACAACATCGCAATGCAATGCCAAAAATATGAGAAGTACAACCATATAATGTCTTCGCGTTGCATTTTTATTGTGTCATATAATTTATACATTACATTATATAAAAGAAAGCCTTTAAAATTCTAATACATATGATAAATTAAACTAAGTTATCTTACGTTACGTTTCGGGTGCTTTCGGGAAATGTCGGGAATTAATAAAAATAAGTTAACTAAACGCGATAAAATCCGTAAAAGTAGTTTTATTCAATTAAACTAAGTTATTTATGTTTTAATTGTTTTATTGCAATTATATTGAAGAACCACAGATCAAAACACATCACAACACAGATCAAGACACATTAAAAATGGGCCAGATTAGGAGTACCCTTAACCGACGAGCGTGTATGCGTAGATATATGGATGTAAAAGAGGCGAGAGAGGTATGTCAGGATCGTGCCAAATGGAAGTCCGTAGTCTCTGCCTACCCCTCTGGGTGACAGGCGTGAGTGTTTATGTAACCACAGATCAATTTCTTACTTGCTGATTTCAAGAATCTTGAACGTAGATTGATAACTTCCATGAGCTACAAGAAAGCCTTTCATTTCGATTGTGGTAGTATCGTTTCCAGCGCAATTGAGATTTTGGGTGAGATTGGAAGATTCTACGGACAGCTGTACACATCATCATTGAAGCCACGCGTAAGTGTAAGTGATGATCTTTAAGCAAGTCTCTTCAGACACTATTCCGATTACATTCCGGACATCACTCTGAGCAAGATAAGAAAGGCTCTCCAGTAAGTACCTTAAAACTGGCAAGGCCCTAGGCAAGGATGGAATCACTGCGGAGCTTCTGAAAGTAAGAAAAATCATTACTTAAAGTCCTTTACCAACGCGTTAATTCGGTCTTCCATGGTGAAACTACTCCAGAAGCGTAGATAAGTGCATTAGTCTTGTTCTTCAAGAAAGGCAACTATAGAAGAACCACAGACAGAGTTTCTTTTAAGGTCGCAATTATGTGCTGTTTTACGAGAGTCTTTCGACAGAAATAATGACTTCTAGTCTCATAAGCAAGCCGGTTTTCGGGAAGGCTTTAGTACCACAGACCACATACACATCCTTAGGCAAATTATACAGAAGATAATTTGCCACTTTGTTTTGCTATTTCGTTGAAATTTTGAGGGTACTACAGTCCCTTCAGTGATGTCAAGTTGACTGTTGGTATATCGAAGTGACTAAGTGTTTGTACAGTAAAGCTACAATGGGACTTTAAGTATTGAACCAGAGTACAAAACATCCAACTGCAAAGAGGTTTAAGAAAAGGAGACGTTATATTCCCAAAAATGTTCGCCGCAGCGTTGGGAGACGTTTTCAAGCTATGTAGTCGCAACCTCGTACCGGTAAGTGATGTGTAGGGCGAGTCACCAGTAAAGTAAAATATGCGGGAAGTCAATGGGTACAAGTGGCTCCGATCGTGTTCTGTGACACCCTTTTGGGGGAGGCCAATGTTCATCAGTGAATGTTATTAAGGGATGTAATGAATAGAGGCACAGAATTCGTTTATAATCAATTGGATTGTATGCTCGCTTGTCACTTACTTTGTTTTGTAAAGAAAGCATAAGATTAACTTAGATAATTATGATTCCTACTCGAATAACAACAAACCTAGAGAAATAATTAATAGCATTACGCAACGTAATGTGTGTCTTATATCTAACATATCAAACATGACCTCAATAAGGAGTAGTAAGCGTTGCGAATTTACTTTAAATGCTTCTTTTTGATAAACCCGTAAAAGTCTGCTGGACATAGAAGTTCATGATTACATGGAGAATTAGCCTTAATTGTCATGGTGGATTGACGATCGCTGTACCAGACATCTCACACCTCAACGCTACTGCTCGACAGTGGTCTGTTTATTTCATGTCTGACGTAAGCGAGCGAGGGGTGATGAAATGTTTTTACGTCTTCATTGCACGATAAAATTAAAAAAATACCATAGACGCACGTAAATAAGTACACGTGTCCATTTTTTTTACCGTTTGCAGTTTTATGTTTTGGTTTTTTATATAATGATACATTTGTGTTACAGATGTGTAATTTTGGTTTTTATATTGTATATAAAATTCACATATTATATGTTTATGAACGTTACGTGACCAGTCCTTACACTACACATCGATATTTAAATGTCATATCAACATCGATTGTTTATTATGATTACACATCCCTATTTAAAGATTATATACAGATTATCCGCATGTAGAGTACGTGTAAAATGACACCAATCGTAAAGATTAAAACAAAAATCGGTTTTTGTTTTCAACAATGAGGAAGGAAATATAGTTTGCATAATATATTCACAAATCCATAATCCCTGTACGAGTATCAATTTTTCCTTGAAAAGAATATGGTCATATATTTAATAAATTGTAAGCATAGCTTAAAAATAAAAAGTAAATAACTAAACTCTGTCTCTTGTAAAGTGGAAACTTGTAGAAGCTTGACGACTGTAATACTGATGTTGGTTTCCTACCGGTAGACGAAGTGTAGCGTGGCCTCCCACTATATGGAGTGACAATTTGATAAGACATGTAGGAAGTCGATGAATGCAGGTGGCTCAGGACCGTGCTATGTGTCATTCCTTCGGGGAGGCCTATGTTCAGCAATGGACTTGTGAAAGACTGTGAGTGTGATGAATGATGATGATGATGATAATGATATTGGTTTTGTAAAGACGAATTATAAAATTACGGTTAAGGATTTTACGATTTTATTGTTCTTAAATTAGCTCTAGAATCATAGACTATGGAAAGACGCCTAAAGTTTGTGTTTGCTATAATAATTCCTTTTCTCTCTGGTTTAGTTCGTCGTGGAAAATTGAATTGAGTAGACGTATACGATGAGTGAAGTTTATAAACTTGGTGATTTAGTTTGGTATGTTTCAAAATTTATATTAAATTTAATTCATTTATTCATTGCTAATACGTTAATAAATATAATTATTTACTTGCTTGTTTCAGGGCTAAAATGAAGGGTTTCAGCCCCTGGCCCGGCCGGGTGAGTTGCTTCAGTTTTTATTACTAATTTAAATCAATGTAAATAAACGTCTTGTATTTAGCTCTAAATAATAAAGTTTACTGAAAGCAATACTTACATGTGAGTAAGAAATATAATATATTGGCATTTTGTAATTAATGTTGTTATGAGCGGGAAAATCTTGATTACGTTGTAGGAGACGCTATTTGGTTATTCAATTATGATTTTATTTTAGCATTTTTGTAAAAAGACATTGGTAGTTCATAATTCTAGTTAGTCTTTTATTCTTATCTGATATTCCCTTACCTTAAAAACCTATGTTGTGGTTCTCTCACTTTCTATAAATAATGCTTCACGATAGAAAGAGAGAGAAGTATGTTTTGAATTAAGTTTGGTTACATGGTCTCTAATTTTTATATGACGATGGTTTTCAGGTAGCAATCCCTACACCAGAACTGAAGCCTCCTAAGAAGACAACCAATGTTCAGTGCATTTATTTCTTTGGAACTAACAATTAGTAAGTAGCTGTTATTTTTATTTGTGTACAAAGTGCAAATACATATTTAGACAATTAATTTCATTTCTGTTTTCAATATTTCAATATATCTTTAAGAAATATCATCATGATCAAAACTACCATCACAGCCCTTCACAAGTCCACTGCTGAACATAGGCCTTCCCCAAGGAATGACTTATCACCTATGTTAGTAATTTGTTGCATGTGCTCGACTGGTGGACATTCCCCACTGTCGGCAATGGCTTGCAGCACATTGTTGCAACTTCATACACACCATAAAAGTAAACCAGTTTATTTACACTTAATTTTTTACCCCAATTAAATTTGAATTGATGAATTTTGGTGCATGTGGAGTGATACAGGCTGAGCATCACTACTCATTGAATGCACTTTAGTCATTCCGGTATTAATACATTTTTAGGGATCCGTACCCAAAGGGTAACCAATGGGACCCTGTTACTAAACTTCTGCTGTCCGTCCGTCCATCTGTCAACGGGCTGTATCTCATGATCCATAATAGGTCAACAGTTGAAATTTTTATAGAATGTGTTTTTCTGTTGCTGCTATAACAAACAACATATAGTAAAAATTAAAAAGGGCTCCCTTACTATGATGTGATCGTGGAGCAGGAAGAATTTAAAATTATTTGAATTCATATAAATGTGAATTTTAATAATTTGAGAGTAAAACTCTGTTTTCGGATCACAAATATTGTTTAAAAGGTCCTAAAACTATCTATCTAAATTGCAATAGAAATAAAACTTTTTATAATGGGAATTAAGTTTAAAAATACAAAGCAATAAAAAAATTCCTCCTCCGCGACCTTGCTTTAAAACGTGGAATACAATGATGCAGAACCATTAATGCACGAGTCCGACTCGCACTTGGCCTGTTTTTTTTTTTTTGTAGGATAGGGTGACTAACTAGCACACAGTCCACCTGATGGTAAGTGGTTGCCGTGGCCCATAGACATCCTCGATTACGAATCAAAATGTAGATGCGTTGTCACCTGTGAGGACGAAGATGAAATGCCTCGTTTCCAGTAAAAAGGGTCTCCGGTCCTTTACACTCACCATACGAAACACAGCAGCATTAAACTGCGATTTTTCACTGGTATTCTGTGAGCTGTTATTGTTTAGTACAATTGGCTTAGATCACTTAAAGATTTTTTTTTATAGTATAACAGTGACAAACAAGCACTATCTATGGTAAAAATGCATTTATCATTGATATCTGTATAACTTATTTGTGGGTTGATGATACATTTCAGCATAACACTGTCCAATTACTTTTTTTTAAATAACAAAGTTTTGACGTGTAGGAGTAGTAACGTGAGAATGAGGGCATCCACGACTTTTGCCACCAGGGCGGCGCCTCTTAAATGTGATGTAATATTTGATAGATTTTATAGCGGAGAAGATGATTTGTTCGAAAAATGTAATGTTTAATATTTCTTTCTGTACTATTAGTTATATTTTATATTACTTAGATTAAAAATAATTAAACCAAACCACACATATTCATAAAGGTAGAAAACTTAAGAAAGAGTTAAAAATGTGCAAAAATTAAAGACATTGTTTTGTGTATTAATATAATACTATAGAAACTGAAACTTTAATTTAAAACTAACTTCTCAATGAAATGACGTTGTGTAACAGAAAAACTTCACCTCAGTGTCAACTAGCGACACCTGGTGGGCGGAAAATTATTGGCCCTCTTTGGACTAACTTAATCTGTGTAAGCCATGTAATTTTTAATGATTTTTGAACACTTGAATGTTCCAAAGTTTATAATCAACTAAAAAATTTATAAGTTTTAGTAAACAACAGCTTACTTATAGTTCTATACTTTATAATATACCATTTAGAACTTTTTATTTTTAACAAAGTATTTATTTATCTGAAGGCCTCCTCCAACCTTTTCAGTATCTTACGTACTGTTGAATAAATGGCTTCATTATTATTATTATTTGTTAACGTTTTCCCCCCGTAAATATTAGTCTAATTTTCATAATTTTGGAAATGTTTTAGATATAACGAAAAACTAGTTGCTACTTGTAGTAACTAGTTTTTATTTATATTTATTATATAGTTAATTACTTTTATTTTAAAGAAATATTGCGTATGATATAAGTTATTAGCATCCAAATCCACATATCTATATTTTAGACTTAAAAACTTCCTCGAGCGTTTTTTTTTTAAATTAAACTAAACTGAACTACTAAAAAAGAAAAACGTGTAGACCTGGATGAAAGTGTACTGAATCAAAATTGTCTAATGTCGTAAAGGTTTAGGGGGTAAAAATGCTACCGTCCGAAACAATATTTCAAAACGGAAATGTAGGTAATAGCCTACAAGACTTGCAACTCTCTCTATCGCACGATACGGCGATACAGAGCGAGCGGTATGAAACAGATAGCATTTTTGAAAATGCCTACTCGCGCTATCGGCACTCCTCAATACGGATACGGGATAATAACCCCTGGGAATGAGGTGCTCGCTTCCAAGCTGTTTCTAAAATAAATTTTGTAAATAGTTCGTAATTATTTATATTGTAAAATTTATTTAAAAAAAAGTCCCGCTGGGTTTCTTGCTGGTTCTTCCCAGGACAGAGGGTTTTTTTTGAACCAGTGGTAAAGTAAAAAATGATTTTCAATAAGAATTACACATGTAATGTATATTGAATAAAAATTATTCTATTCTATTCTATTCCAATCCTCTTAAGCTAAGGTTTATACACTAATATATTTATTTATTTCATTTGATTTATTTATTTAATTAAACTTTTATGTACAAAAGAAAAATCGTACATATGGCGGACATAATGTCTTAGGCATTCTCTCCCAGTCAGCCATAAGTAATAAACTAAGTGCTCATTTTAATTATAGGTAAACACAACACTACCCTATATAATTCCATGGGTTTCGTAAGAGGCGACAAAGTGAAATTAAACAGGAGATAGTCAGAAACAAAAATACTTGTTAAAAAACTGTATTTGCTAATCCACTTGCTGTGTGTGGCAACTATTGCAAATATCCCTTATGTGGCAGTGGACTTTAGTCTGTAATGAAACAACGAATCAAAGATGTTAAAAACTAATTAGATAAATTCGCAATATAATAATAAAATAAAATGATGTGTTTTACCTAATTTGAAGAGCACCCCCCCCCCCTCAATTACGTAAATAAGTGCTTTTGTGCCTAGGAGTTCGTTTGGGTAGGTACTACACCCTCTGCCATTAATCTGCGGTGTCCTCTCCACTGCTGAGTTCCGGTATTCTATGTTTATACTCCAGAGGTGATAGTGCACCTGTGCCTCTGTTTGAATCTTGCCTGCAATGATCATTTACTATCAGGTGGACTCTGCACGTTGTTATTTAAAAAACAACTGGGTATAAGTAGCGGCACTAAAGTCTAGCGGTGGTCGCTCGCACGCGCTGATTGGCTCTCCAGTCGCATTCGTGCAATTCAATTCGTGCGCGTCCCCTCCGCGTTTCGTTCAGTGCTAGACTTACGTGCCGCGACTTGTATTGTTGTTTTTTTAATATTCATGAGTAGCGAAATATTCTAATTAGTGAATGCTATCCATACCACTATATTATAGTGTTAAGATATAAGATAGGTATGTTGCAATGGCATTGCATTGCATTTAAATTCTTAATGAAGCATGGATGTCGGTATTAATGGACCCCACTGTCCATTTCCTATTAAATAGCCCGATTGTAAATTCTATAAAGGCTTGTGTGTTTTTGGTAACCCATACAACTTCGGCGTGTGTCTATAAAGGCTGTTTAGTTATCCTCTATAGGTTAGCTTCAGACATATGCAGACTTTTTAACCATGGAGAAATCCCTACGCGTACCCGCCTTCCGGGTCCTTACTCCCGCACGTAAGGAATGTAACCGAAGATAATTATGGTAAGGACGGTTTATGTCAGACTCTCAACAACTAAAATCTTATGGTGTTCTATCTTCGTGCAATAGGGCCAAACAAGTGTGTAAGCGCCAGCATTCCCAGACCTACTGGTGCGGTGGATCGTGTCTGTGGCTCTATAGGCGGCCACTTTTCAGCCAAGGAGGATTGGGCAAGCGGCGCATCTTAATACAACCACTCCGTTCCTCTCGTGGCCGCACCGAATCAGTCTTGCGTTCCATCCAGACTCGCCGAGGATAGCGAGTGGCGCTTTGCCTTACGAAACTTCCCTTCATCCACAACTCCACCTCAACTGGGGAGGGTAGAGAGTATGTGGGTTTTTGTTTTCGTTTAGCACGCTAACCAAGACACGGCTAAAAATCCCGCCGCGCCGCCAATAAATAGAGTTAGGAATAGATTTTTCTTATTCAATATAGATTATAAATAATACTTATTGAGTCACTCTTATGTTTAAGTTACCACTGGTTCGGAAAATACCTCTGTCCTGGGAAGAACCAGCACGAAACTCATTTCTTTTTTCGCCGTAACATGTCGGTAATCCGGTCGAATATTTTGTAGCCTCTACAACATAACCAGCCTCGGGGAGCTTCGCAACCTTTTACATAGACTGGCTTAAACTAATAGCCAATAAATGCTATCGTTATTTTTAGCTATTCCGATTTGGACACGAAGTATTACAGACAATGACAATAAAGTTAGTATAGCATCTAGCTCTGGTTATATTATTTTAGTGACGACGTTCTCCATACTCTACTGTCCCTTATTAAGTGAGTGTAAGTACATCACTTGTGTGATTTCCAAGTAAACTAACTAGCGTATGTGCGTGGACGCGAATACTTATGTGGGCGAGAGGACATGGACTAGTGTTGAATGAAATTACCAACTAATAACCAATTTATTTCAACCTAATCTACAACTTAATGCCTCTTCAACGATTTTACAAGGTTTTAACTTAAAGTCGGAAAAAATATTTTCAAACAAACTGCTCTAAGCAGCAGCAAAATCAGACGCTTTACGACTGATTTTTGTGCGATGAGTTTAGAAAACCGGAGACCCTTTTTAAAGGAAA